AGGTGACAGGACTCCAGATTCCTGGTGATAATTAGTGTCCTGATGTATACAAAAATGACAAGTGAGGGTCGGGGGAAGCTCTTGTTCTCTTCCAGTTTGTGAGTAAAGCAGAGAGTGTCTCCCCCTTTCAGATGATTCTCTGAGAGAGAGACACCAGAATTTTCCTGCACAGTGGAACCGGCAGGTTTCTCTGTGTCTTTCTCATCTGGAAGTTTCGTCTTAATCTGTTCTCATTTTTTGCATAATGAGCAGGCATTCACGATGTGTTTGGAAGAAGTGTTATTCTTTACAAGGTGCAAATATCTCTAATCCTCTCCATCCCTGTATCAAACAGAAATGGCTGGCCTTACACTGGGGCTTTCTGCTAACCCAGCTAACCAAGAAATTAATGTCCTACATAAACGTTGAACTAATAGCCTGAGACAATAATCATAGGTGGAAAATAAGCTTAGTTGTTCCTACCCCTTATTTTTTTAATAAGTAAGTGTCCTGTACTTCAAGACATTTTTGCTTTTAGTTTTTGGCTTATATAAAAAATGCTGGGCAAAACCAGAGTGATTTACTACCTGTCTACTTGGACCACAGACTAAAACCACTAGCCTTTGAACATTGACTAAAAAACGGTTTTTGAGCAGTGTAAATATCTGTAACTCCACTGTTATCTCTCTACCAATGGCTTTTAAAAAGTCTTTGTTCTGTGCCATTGATGTTAATTGAGAATATGCTAATGCCAAAAAATCTTCCTTCCCTCCTCCAGTACCAGTGTCAACATTGCAGAATTACTGCAGCATCCTCCAGGCAGAGTTTAAAAAGCTTCTTGACCATAATGGGTAGGAAAAAAATCACTGGATGAACCTCATTAATTCTTCAGTTAATGAGGAATGGAACCAGTGCCACTCTCCCTTGGCCCTGCTCCAAGGGATGTGGCTCTGTGGAGTCTGTGATCGAGAGGACACTCCGTGGGGCAGACCAGCCCTTGCCTTTGCTCCAGGCCACAGTCGTACACTGCTGGTAACACCAGGCTCAGCTCCCCAGGTTTTAAGCTCTTCTTGGTAGTGCTAGTCCTTCATGAAAATCAGCCGGAACAGAAATCTGATCTCGGAGGAGAGCCCTCAGCTCCAGCAGTTCTTAGGAGCAGGCAGGGAACTCCACCAAATCAAATCAGGAATTCTTCCCTTCAACTTCTTGAGTAACAGGACTCTTGAGCAACCAGCAAGGGATTTGTTTGCCATATAAACACAATTGCTCTTTCTTTTTTGATGAATGATTCAACTTTTCAGCTGCAAATGCCGAGCTATAAAGTTCCTGTAAATCCCCTTACAGTCTGTGGCCAATTGCTGAACAAAGACAGATCCAGAGATACAGGATCACCTGCTGCAGGACCACTGGCAGACACTGTTTAAATTATGTCTATCCCTCTGTCAAGCTCCAAAGTTAAGGACACAGGCATGTGGTCTTTTAATGCTGGTCTTCAGAAAATTCTACTGGATTATCCATGCTGGATGCTGTAATTAGAGCATTACAGTCTCCAAAGCCTTATAAAATGAAGATGCTGAAAGCTATTGGTAGTAAAGATTTAGTATCACCTTTAAGAGCAGCATTTAGGGCTTTTTTTGATCTGTGAGAACTTTCTGAAGTAGAATTCCCTTGTCTCTATTATTATTGTGCATGCTGCTATTGGCTTTGGCAATGAAAATGTACTTGTCAGATATGCTTTTATTGTAATCAGTTTATGGCTATTTTAATTCTGTAAGTTTGATGCAGTTGCCTGAAATCCATGGCCTGTAATTTCCAATAACAATTAGGGTTCATCACTGGGAATGCTAGAATTTATCTTTCCTAAAAAACTTCAGTGGCCTTAGGTTTGTCACCGGAGTTTCCCTCCATATTTGATCTGACACATTCCTGTAATCCATGTAACCGCTATCATACACTGGTATCTGGCATAAAGGAGGGTTCAGACCCTGTAATATAACCGGCTCTGCACTAAAAATTTTCTGCCCAAGAGAGCCAAGAGAGTCCAGCAGCCCTCTAGCCTTTCATATTTCTTTCCTATGATCAAAACCAAGGCCACTTGCTGGCTGTCCTTCCACTGGCTTTAAAGGATCGTGGATCAGTATAACCATGGGAATGAAGTGAGTGGAGAAAAGAACTAAGTGTACGACTAACTGCCCAGAGCTCAAAGTGAGTTCATTGAGGGATTTTCATGATGTACTATCTCCAAAGGGGTATCAGGGACAGACAAAGGTGATACAGGGACTCTATCATCAGAAGGTATGAAAAGCACTTTATTATTAGAAATTCACAGTTGTTATAGAAACAATAGTGGACCTGACTGGCCTTTAGGAATCTTCTTTCACCTATTGGTCAAGAAGGGACAACTCCTTCATGTACAGATCTTTGACAAACAGAGATTGCCTGCCAGGTGCAGAGATTGAGATAATAATTGTTGTAATTCTTTCTCTGAGCTTTCTCACAGCTTCCAGGAAAGTCCTGGGAGAGCTATGTCTCTCTCTGTTCAGAGGATATGTGATTACCACAATGTAGCTTTTACTTGATTTGTGAAAAGAGGCATTGAACCTGAGTGCTACAGACTGTACATGGGGGCCAGTTTGCCCATGGAAGTATTAAAGGGATCCTGAAACTGGTTGAACATAAAGTTCATGAGAGGTGGTGAGTGACACTCCAAGTGAGTCAGAATCCCTGACTCCTGCAGTCCAGCTGACATAAGAATGAAGCACTGTTTCAGCTGAGCTAAAAGCTCTCTGTTTCAGACCTGTTCCATTGCATCTGTTGGTTCCCAGTGTTTCATGCAGGAGCTGTTGGCAGGTCTGACTCTGTAAACCTCCACTAATTCATGACTAATACTTGGCAGGGCAATAAAAAATTGTTTGCAGGAATTTCCAGGCAGCACCAATACACAAGCATTTCCCTTGAAATATGGATGTGTCTCTGGAAGGAGTAGCACCCTTTTTAGTACTGGGGACATGTCCTACACAAAGAGTGATACTCTCATTTTTGGGTGTTATAAAATACACCTCCGTTTGTAAACAAACTGACAGCTCCATATCTGGGTTGTCCCCACAGTGTGTAGCTTTAAATCTGCCTGGAAATATGTCATTCCTGAGCTGGCCCACATTGCTAGGATGCCAGCTTTGAGGGATTTTTCTATTTAGCAGGCTGCTTTGGCTCTCAATGATATTAAGAGGTTAGGAATGATGTAGCAGCTACATTGCTGGAGGGGAAAATTAGTTTTTCTGAGTGTTGCTCTTTGTGATAAGGTGTGCTCTACTTGCTCATTGCTAGAAAGGTTGTGGGCATCTACACATCTCTTGCACACTGCCAGAGCTTGGCAAAATTCAGTTGCAGAGGAGTTTAAATTGTTCTCTTCCTTTGTTCTCATGCTCTGAGCATAGGTAATAAAAATATACCAGGTTTCCTTATGGTAGGCCAGGATCATGGCTTTCACTGATCATTTTCTTTTTATATACAAGAATTATTAATAGGTGCTTTCCTGCTATTTCAGTCTGACAACCTCACCCTAATCTTAAGAAAATTGTTTTCAATCTTGAGTTGACTTTCCAGTAAAGTATTCCTTTTTCTTGTAGGCCGAGAGACTTTGGAAAGTGTGCAGATCACTGAGGATGTGAATTTTTATGTGAATTACTTACTCTGATTTCAAGTTATCATTAAGCCTTGCCAGTGAAAATGCAAACAAAACCATGTCTCCAGAGGATGGGGAATAGACATTACTGCACATTGTAATCAGCCTCTCTCGAAGATTCATTTAATATGTTGTGTATTTTTTTTATTAAATGCATTATTCATGTAACAAGATTCACAGGGAGAAGCAGCTGAATTGTAATTTCTGGAAAGATTGTTCTTCCAAGAGATGTCATTTTCATTATTTAAATCAATGCAGCAGGTCTTGCCTGCATGGAAGAGGCATGAAGTGAAGGGAAGGGCCTGTAGATGGGGCACTGAGTCAGCCAGGAACTGCCTCTGAAGGGGAATGAAAGTAGTCGTCCAGTAACTGAAGCTCTTTTGGGTCAGTATGCAGTCATTTGAAATATCATTACACTTTGTAGGATTTTTTTGCCTTGTGCTAGAAGCACTTAAGAGAGCAGTAATCAACCAACACTAGGAAAACATGTGGAAAAGTTTCCTGTCTTGTAAAAATACTGCTTGTGAGCTGCTTTCCCCACTGCCCTTTTCCAGAGTGCTTCCTCAGTTCTCCCTGGAGTTCATCTGCCTGGGCTATCATTCCAGGGCCTACAGGAAAAGTCTCACATGTTTATATTGCAATTCTCTCTTATTTACCTAACCCTAAGTAAACCAGTCTACTTAATTAACACAGACTCAGCCTCTACTCTATTTAAGACCTCACTCCACCAGTGGTCCCACTGAGATCAGTCAGGCTGTTCAGAAATAACAAAACACAAATACCACCAGTAGACTTTAAGCTCAACTTAATAAAATTACAGTGATACAGACTGCACATGCTTAAGCAACACTAGGTGCTTTGCATCTCTTACAGCACTGCTGATGGCAAACTTATTTTTAAAAGGAATTTAATTAATGCATATCACCATTTAATTATGTTAATGAAACAAAAAATAGCATGTTACAGCTGAATTATAAATGCTTCATGAAGAGCATGATTCTCCTTATTTTGACTGCCCTGCTCCATCCCCATGCAGCCACCTGATGGGAATGCATCCCCTTTTGTCTTCCTCTCGCCCTCCTCTTCCCACAGCAGGTTGGAAGCTTTCCAGATCCCACCTCAGTGACCTCCCTGGCATGTGCATCCCTACACTGGTGTGGATGGCCACCTGGCCTGCCTGGGCAGTTGCCTGGTGCCACTGAGATGTACCCAGAACTGCAGGGAGCCGAGAGGGAGCCTGTAGTGTGCCTGCTGCATTTTGACACTCTGAAGCTGCCCAGTGGTGGGTTGCTGGCATCAATGTCTTTCTCCTTTTCCCTTTGTTTGTTTGCCCAAGTTTGTCCACTACCTCCAATGGTGAGTCACGGAGACTACATCTGCCACCCGCGGCCTTGTGAGCGCTACAACCATGGGACGGTGGTGGAGTTCTACTGTGACCCGGGTTACACCCTCACCAATGACTACAAGTACATCACCTGCCAGTATGGAGAGTGGTTCCCCTCCTACCAAGTGTACTGTGTCAAAACAGGTAAAGGACTGTCCTATGCTAACAGCCCTGTCTTCTTACAGCCCCTCATTTCAGAGCAAATTTGTAGGTTGGCAATACCTGGTGAACTTTGTCTGTTTCATGGTTAAGTGATGAGCATTGATTTTAAGATGCTGCTATTTTTGAACTCCTTTTCAAGAGTCTCAGATTTTCAAAAAGGCTAAATATAATGCATCCCCAAGATTCTAATGATTCTAAACCATTTTTGATCATTACCTCTTCAAGTGTATTTTTTAACATCTGGATATTTTATATGTATGCAAGCTAAGGCATGATTGCATGCATAAAAGACCAGTCAAGGGGAAAAACCAAGATACAGCCTCTGTGACAGCTTTATGTTAAGACTGCTTTTGGTACATGGTTTATGTGTGTTTTTACAAGTTGCATATAAAAAATGTGCATTTCTGAGTAGTGTTGAATATAAAATAACAACAGGAATATACAAGCACAATTCTTGTATTGTCTTTCTGTTACAGAACAAACCTGGCCAAATACAAAGGAGACCCTCCTGACTACATGGAAAATAGTGGCATTTACTGCTACCAGTGTTTTACTAGTACTGCTACTGGTTATATTAGCCAGGATGTTCCAGACCAAATTTAAGACACATTTCCTTCCACGGTTTGTACCAATTTCTTTCTTGTTTTGAAGGTTAAGGGCCCTGATTCAGTTTTCACACTCGGCACTCCTTGCTGGAGAAATGGAGCAGCTCATGGGCCTTGCAGATACTTTGTTCTGCTCTGAGCAGAAGCCCCTGAACCACTAGTGTGCAAGGCCACCCCCAAAAACCTGCAGTAGTCCTTCATGCAGCCAAGATAAAAGGCAAAGTTTGCCAGATTCACTCTGGGAGTAATTACCACTCTTCTATTGAGACCTGCTGCTTCTGCCTGTAAAAATAGCTGACAATATTTTTAAGTACTCGTTTTCAGGTGCTGGGGAAATTAATTTTGTAACTACTGTACATTTAGTAATGTAAGTTTTAAGGAAGAATTTATTTTTTCTCTATGGACAAATTTATATTAAATGTTTGCTTTACCTTCATTAGTGTTATTTTCATCATGATTCATAAACATCTCCTGCATCTTCCTTTATTTCCATAAAATATCATGCAGCTGGGAGCATTTGTCGTTGATTGACATAGTGTTCTCCATGAGGAAGGCCTATAGCCTGGACTTGTCTAGCTCACTAAAATGGTTTTTAGTCCTCTCCTTTTCAGATGTTTTCATGTGTTAAAGGTACCTAGGACCTCCTCCCTGGACTATACTGTGTTTAATAGGCTACTAAGCAGAAACTTTAGGGTTTAATGGACCTTCCCAGTTAATAGAAATGTTTTGCTTATAAAAGAAATCAGCTTAATACTGGTTAAGGAAGCCTCCATCCTTTGAAAGCAAGACCTGAAGGAGGCCACAAGTCTTGCCACCAAACCTTTGTCATCCAGCAGTGGTATTCTCAGCACTCATTTACTTGGGCTGTAAACACTTTTGTGCTCTAGCATACATTTTGCCAGGGATTCAGATACTTATGCCTGATGAACTACATCTGTGATCTTATATCCATGACACCTACTGTGCACAGCACAGCAAATGGTGCTCCTTATCTCTTCCACATATCTGTTTACCTTGCATTCTTGAAACTGTTCTTCCCATTACCAGTTTCATTTTTTCCAATTGTAACAGATTCCACCTGTCAACCCAAGCATAGTTTGGCAAACATTTCTGTGAATGTTAATGTCCCTATAGCTTCATTTGGCATGAAAACACAGAAAATACTGTGTTTACTGGAGTTCAGCAGTTGCTCCGAGGTGCTGCTGACATTCTCCTGCTCTCTGCGATAACCTTTCTGTGTTTGACATAGAGGCAACCAGGAGGGCTCCATGGGTGACCCTGACTTTGTGGTGGTGGATGGTGTTCCTGTCATGCTGCCTTCCTACGATGAAGCTGTCAGCAGCGGCTTGAATGTCCTGGCACCTGGATACTCAGCTGCCACAGACCAGGGGCATATTTTGCAGACAGAAGATCAGAATCCGCCCGCTTACCCTGGTCCCAGGATTCCAGGCACGCAGCCCAGCGAATTTGAGACCTGTGACAGTAGGTTGGGTTCCTCTGAACTGTTCCAAAGTTTGTACCCATCCCTGACATGCCAAGTGGCAGCACTTCCTGGCTCAGATCGAACTGACATATCCCACAGCACTGACGGGGATGCTGCATCCACAAGTCCCCGAATCAATATCACAGATGGTGAGTCTTGCATAGGTGCAATAGGTGAGTCCATGGACAGGGGGCATCATTTGTTTGTAGTGGCAGAGCAGGAATTCACCCAGCTGACTCACTCCTACTTTGTCCATGGTTTTGTCTACACCTTAATTTGAAACTTTTTTTTAAATCATAAAACTCCATGGTTATAGAATTTAATGTCTGTGATATGTCCTTGCTAGCTGTGGTGCATGTGATTTGAATGCCAGGCCAGCAGGTTCCTGTCCAGACCCCAGTCTCATCAACAGAGACGTCAGCAAACACCTGTGTACAGCAGCAAAGCCAAGCCTCATCTTGCCTGTGCTGGTCTGTTCATCTGCTCCTCAACTCCTACATTCACAGCTCCCTCACATACCCTGGCTTTCACAGCAAATAACAGGATTTTCTCCTTGAAAGAGGAAATAAATCTTATTTTCATACTGGGCCAAAATTAGCAGCCCTTATTAACAAACTCATCATGTCTGTGCATCCAGCAAAACATTCCTTCCATCTGAGGCATGTGAGCCTTAAGCCATGGTTATGGAAGTCACAGCATAAGGAGAACATGCCACAGGTCCATGTGCCAGAAGGGAGCTTGCCATGTACTACTGCCCACCTTTAAATCAAACATGAGCATGCACTGACACGATTTCATGGAATTCTGATTGGTGCTGCTGAGAAAACTGGATGGCTTTCCTTGGAGACATTTCAAGGGAGAGGGTCATATCCCACTCTCCATTGTCACTGAGCTGAAGCCCAGTGTCCTAAATTCAGTGTGGATGAAGGTCTGGGTGGAGGAAGTCTTCTGCTTCAGAGGGGTTTGGATAGTTTTAGTGGTATCACAAAGGGAACAGGAGACCCAGGAGGAGAGGAAGAAATTACAGGGCTGCCAGTTGAAGTCCTTTCCATCTCTGAATGCTGCTTCAGTGATTAATGTAGTAGCAAGGATGTTTGCATTTAGGTTTTTGTGGTCCTAACTTATTGGTCCTAACTAAATCTGTGTAGTTTTAGTTATCTAATTTTCATAGAGGTGTTAGAGTCTGAGTGGGTCTAAAATTGGCAATATCCCATGTCTTGTTCAGATATTTGCAATGTCCATTTCTGGCTTTATGGAATTGGTAGCAATTATGCTGTGCAAAAGCGAAAAGGGAAATTGCAATCGGCAGTCAATGCTATTTCTTTGTTTCTCCTAGAGATTCCTTTGATGGAAGAAGACCCTTAGCCTGCACTGAGTTGTGTCCTCATCACATTGCACTGTTGGGTGATATGAATCATGAGGATTCGGAGACAGAGGAGACTCTGTGGATTTGGGGAGGGTGTTTTCCTACTTATCAATCTTCCAGACGATGATGTCACCAGGTTGGGTGTATGTCTTAATCCACAGCGGGGACAACAGCATCAGCATTTGGAACAGCAGCAGTTTTATGAATGAATCCTGGGGATTTGATGAGAGCCGATGTAGAAAAAGAACTGTGGCTTTTTAGAAGTGAAATGTTTGTCTGCATTGCAGAAAGTCATATGGCTCTGTAAGAAATGCTATTGGATTTTGATACTAACTGCCTCACAAAAGCATGTAAAAATATGTAAATTTGCTTATAAAGACTGCTTTAAATGATCTATGGACCTCTAGTTTATGAAGAATCCTTTCATGTTTAAAAAAATCAGTACTGAAACACACACAAAAAAAGAGGAAAGATCCTCTTTGTCTTTCCTATGATAACCAGGAAGTTTTTGATTTAATTGTTGGTGTTTTGCTTCAGACCATGTCTGTGGAAAATATAACAGAAATTATGGGATTCATATATACTTTGATGTACAATAGCAAATATATATAAATATATATATATTTAAAAACTCTTAAAGAGAAAGAAAAGGAAAGACTCCCAGGTCACGTAACGATCTGGAGATTTTTTTTTAAAGGTAAGGCAGAATTTATATCATAGACAATATTCAAAGTAAAGTATCAATATTTGTATTTATGCAAGACTTCTGTGACTACATTGCATTTGATAAATCATGCTGTAATACGAGAGATCTAGAAGATGTTAAAATTATGAAATACATGCTTAAGAAATGTCAAACTGCCGTGCTTCAACCTTTCTTAAGCTCTTAAATATATATATATATATATATATATATATATATGAGAGTAATCTACAGTCATAGCCCAGAGCACTGCCTTGTCCCTGTACATTGTGGTAGTATTCTGAGCCATTATTGTAGAATACTTTTTTTAAAAAAATAATAAAGCTGAGTTTGCGTTATTTTAACTTATCTGACCATTGTGTAGTTGGCCTTTTTTCCTTCCTCACTTCTTTCACCAGCTCCTACCTGAAGGTAGGAGGTAGCAGAACACCTGTCCTTTGGCATTTTCAGCTTTGCATCCATTATCCAGCTGGAAATGGAGAAAGTGGTTTTGGTTAAGCAGAGCACACGGAATGGGTGCAGCAGGAGCACAGCTTCTGCAGATGCAATGTGGGTTTCATTGAGGGTTTTCTCTGCTCTGCAGGCTGTGCCAGAGCATTGTGCTGAAGCCTGTATGAGGGGTTCACTCCGTGGTTTTACAGGCTATTTGTTCTTTGTCAGGAAGATTCCTGGCTGTTTCATGTACTTACGGAAATTGAAGCTGATTTTCTTTTCTTATTTTTGGTACTGTGCAGATGAAATACCTTAAACGGGCAGTGTTTGAAGGAATAACTCACTGTGTGTTAGTGACAGAGATTACCATCATGTAGGCTAATCCAAACCAAAGGGGAAAATACAACTGAGTTCTGATTTTATGTACAAAGTAAATTAATAATATCTCTATTGCCGTAAATAGAGGATCACTACAAGCTGCTCTGCTATTTTTTCATGTTTAATGATTTATTTGTATTGTGGTAGAATTTAGTGGTCCCACTCATGAGCCAGGCTAGTGGAATAATAGATGTGCTGCAACCATTCAAGAAAAGAGTTTATTAGCATCCTGTCAGCAACTGTATGACAGCAAAAAGCAAAAGCAGACCAAAAGCTCTGTGGCGAGCAGAAGTAATTCTGTCAGTTATCCTGAAGTAAGATTTTGAAAACACAGTGATTGGTGTTGAAAAATGAGACATATTCCATTTTATCCTCCATCCTTGCTTACACAATATTTCCATTTTTCTTCTCCTGAATTGTCTCAGTTGCAGCTGCATGTTCAGGTTTATCCACAGATGTATCTATCAGATGTTTGTACTTTCTTGGCTACCCCTTCCTTTTTAGATCTCAAGCTTCCAGAGGTGTTTGCATCACCAGCTGATGCTCAGAATTACCACTCCAGTATACAAGACAAGAGTGCTGTAAAACCAACCCTGAACTGAAGCACACCCCAAGCCTCCAGTCAGTTGTGTGATTTTAGTTTCATAATACCATTGACAAGTATTGGACTTACTTTAAATGCCTTATAAAATATTATGAAACCCATCTTTTCTGGTCTTTTAGCAGCTTGTGAAATTTCATCCCTTATTAATTTTTTTTTTGCTTCCATTTATTAATTTCTATGGAAGCTTCTTGATTAATATTTGGAGCTCTGAGGTTTTACAGATTCACACTGCTGTGTGTATTGTATTGCAGTCATTTTATTAAGGGAGACAGGGTAACTGAAGAAATGTAAATTTATGACTTATTAGAACATCTTTATTTTAAGAAGTGTAGAATTGCAAATACAACAGAAAACATGAATATATTAATTTTGCTTGATAGCCTTTTGATAGGACTGCACCAAATACAATTTTAAAGGGTTTTACCATTTAAAGAGTTTTACCATTTTTTGCTGATGTTGGATAAAGCTTCCTGAAAGGCTGTTTTTGGGGGGGGGGGGGGGGGGGGGTTATTTGTGTGGTTGAGTTTGGGGGTTTTGCATACTTGACTATCTGGGGAAAAAGAGAGGATTTTTTTCTCATGCTATTTTTTTCCACATAGGGCTTGAATTCTCATGAGAGGACTGCCTGCCTCTGGATCCACACCTATGTCCCAACCCACAAAATGATGCCCTGGGCTGGGGGCTGCCCCCAGGTGCCCCTAGCCTACCCAGCAACCTGGACACCCTGGAGAACTCCACAGCTCCCTGGCCTAAGACCTCAGGATGTTTTCAGGGCCTAAAGAGACTAGAGGGCTGCTATGACCACGGCAAGATGTTCACTGTGTAAATGAGACCAGATGGGAGGATGAGCACATCTTATGCACATCATAAGCTGTTTTCCCTTCAGCTAACTGAATGTGGATTAAAACAGATCCAAGAAAGCACCTTTTGGTGAGGGGTTAGTGAAGATGGACAACCCATGTGCCTTCAGCAGAGAGAAAATGGGTGTGTACTGAGAACTCCAGGAAAGAAAAACAAGAACTGGCTTCACCCTGCCAATATTTCTAAAAATGAGAAAAGAGAAGTGAGCAATCTGTCACCCTTGAGCACTGACTTGTGAACAGGGGATTGACATGCAGAGTGCTGGGTAAAGGTGGGGATTCAAGGTCTCCCAGGAGCCCTGCAGGGAGTGAATCACAACCTGAGCATGAGTCAGCAGAACCTGGCTGTTGTGAAAATGTTAAATGTCAACACAGGAGTGTTTACACAGAACTGTAACTTATAAAATGCATGAAGCAATCGTTCAGCTGCACTCACCACTAGTAAGGCCTCAGCTAGAGCAGTGTGTCAAATGTTGAGCAATTTTTTTCCTCCTCAAGGGAAACATGGTGCAGCTGGATGGCAGCCAAGCAGAAAGAATCAAGCAGAGAGAATTGGAAGAACCTGTCCTACCTCACAGATTATGTAGTGTTCAGCGTGAACAATGGAAGACCAAAGAGAACAGAAATTCAGTTTTCTGTAAGAAATTATTTTGCAAGGAGGATGGAATTTATCTGTATAAGTAGGACAAGAATAATAGACTTAATTGAGGCTTGAGAGAATTAGGTTAGATATTAGAAGAAACATTCTAGTCACAGGAATGGTTACTAGGAGAGAGAGATGATCTGAAGAAGCTGTAAAAACCTCTGAGATATTTTTTAAGACTGTTTTAAATAAGTAGAAGCCAGGAAAACACTGGGGGAGATGCACAATATGAGTTTTGGGGCCCCTTCTCTTTCTGTCTGCATGATTCCCAGCTTGTGAGAACTAAACTTGGCTGATGCACAATTTTGCATATAGACTAATTCCAAATTGATGGTACTGGGCACACTGGTCAGTGCTCATCAAAACCACAGCCAGAAATACTCTCTATTCCACAAACAAAAGCTTTCATGTAGCATGGGCTGAACTCCAATAAAATCCTGTGAATTAAACCCTGTTGCATTGAAGTGACATTGATTTCAGAATATTGTTATGTGACAAATCCAAACTTGGGATTTTCTGGTCTTCATGTCTGTCTTAGGCAGCTAAATGAATGCAGCCCTGCTAATACTCCCTGTGCATTAGGTGAAGTAAATCCTCTCTTGGCAATTATCTGAAGACACCTGTTGAGCTCAATGAGAAATAGCAGCTCAGGCAACTGGAGCACAGAGCCTATTGTCATGCTTATACTAAACTTGCTTCCCATGTCCAAAAGCTGTTTGTTTCTCCCTGGTCTATTCTATGGACGGTAGCACAGCTTAGCATGTCAGCTGTCAGAGGGGGAGTAGCACAGATGAGAGAAGCACATCTCAAGCTCCTGTTCTTGATCTCCTGTGGATGCCCAGGCATGACTTGGAGGCAGAAAGAATTACAAAGCAAGTAAATATCTGCCCCAAACCCAGGGGGATCTCCCAAGTCAAGGACACATCCAGTCCCTTCAACACAGTTCCCAAAGGAATTGTACTATACTGGAGGGGAAGCCCTGTGGCAGAGGGGAGATGGGCCCTCCTTTGCCTATCACTCTCCCAGGCCAAGGCATGCAGCCAGAATAGACAGACAAATCCTTCTCTCCCTATATAATGTATATAGCTTACATTCCAGATTTCTCTCTTCACTACTATTATATAGTGGCACACAGGCTGTTCTTTCAGCCCTATTTTTCCAGGACAGGAAGATAGGTTATTTAACAGCAACAGAAAGGGCTGAGATTGAATTACCTTCTGTCCAGGTGTCAGAGCAGACTTTTCATAATTCACAAAGACCCCATAAAGAAATTGGATGGATGAGGCTGACTGCAATTCGAGGCACCTTTCCTCAGCAAGGCAAAGGGTCTGCCCTGCAGGGCAGGGGCAACTGCTATGTGAGGACATTTTATAACCCAGGAAAATTGCATTCACCTGCTAAAACATATTAAGCAGAAACTTGGAAAAGGAAGAAAGGAAAAGGAAGAAAACATCTAATTTTAATAAAGTCCAGGGGACATGGATAAATTCCCCATGTTCTCCAGTAAGAACAGAGGGAGCTGTTTGTTTAATGCAACTGGTTCAAAAGAAAATCAAGAGGCAAGCACAAACTTCCAAGTTTTGGGGCTTCAGCATCTCTTTTCTTTCACCTCTGCATTTCTGCCGTCAGACTGGTTCGGCTTAAAATAAGGGCCTTTGTTTTGGTTTGGATTCACTTTCACCATTTTACTGTGTTTGCTTTCATTTCTCCTCTGTTTATCCTTCTATTCACTCAGCATTTTTTGGTAACTAATACTGTTGTTTCAGTTTCATTCTGCCACCCCAGTCATGCTGGGAAGCAAAACAAGTTGCTTACTTGCAGAGCAGTATCCAGCAGGACACTTTCCCTCCCGTATAAGAGGTTCCTCATATTTGTCTTGCTCATTTATGTTCTCAGCAGAGAGGACAAGAAAGGACATGGAGCTCCTCACTCTGCTGGCAAATGGTCCATGAAAATGGTCGGAGAGGGGCACTGAGGGGAACCCACATGGCTTCATGAGTGCTGTGTCTATGCCTTGGTCACAGGACTGTTACCTCACCAGCTTTCACTGGCCCAATATTCACAGGTGTCTGTGAATACTCCTATGAAAACAGCAGTAGCCAAAGGTTTTAAGAATCTGCTAATGTTTTAGGGCATTGTTAAGGTAAGACCTTTTAAAAGACCCCCTCCTTTCTGAAA